ATAAATAAATTAAATTATTGGTTGAAAGACTTCTAAAGGAAAAGTTAGGCGTCTATGCTTTCCTTGTAACAAGATTTTTAGATAAGAAGCCAAGAAAAAATACCATATCAATCAAAACCTATGGCTAGCATAAGGTGACTATATATATTATTATTTTAAATACCATATAATCAAAACCAGCTATGACTAGCATAATTTGACTATATATATTATTATTTTATTGAGCAGCAAATGCTTAGATGATGAGTTAATAAATAAACATAAACTAGCTTTATTTTATAGGTTTTGAAATTCACCTGCCGCAACTGCAGCAATTACTACAAGTTATTTACAAATTATCTGCAAGATTTAATTGAAGCAGAACTTCTCACCCCAGAATCCTCTTACCTTGCTTGTGATCCTTCTAAGTTGACAAGAGTGAGGAAAAATATCATGGTGGATGCAAAGAAAAATGATAATTCAAAACTTCCAAATGCTGATAATAATGGTGTTTACTTTGACGGAAGGAAAGTTCAACAATCATAATTTTTTTTTTTTTTTTCTAATTATCTTCGCTTCCAACAAGGCTGCAAGCAACCACTTATTAGTGTTGGAAGTTACTGGAAGAGAAAAGATGAAGATTGTAGAGCAAGATAACGATTGACAGACGACTTAAAAGATTTTTTTTAAATGGTTAAAATGGTTAAAATAAAAAACTTAAATGTTCAAATGCACAGTTACTTATTATTATTATGAAAAAGCAACACATTACCGTGACTTTAGAACCTGGGGGTCAATATCTTGGTCATTTTACCTCAGATGCACCTATTCATCCAGATAAGCGAGCTAAAAAGATTGCTGAAGGTATTTATTTTATGCTAAAACAACATAATCTTACTAATTATTTATAGTATTTGGAACAGATAGTACTTCAAATAACACCGGCTGAAAAGGTAGTGCTATAGTGCATCTTAAAATACTTTTAGGTTACAAGTGCCACTAGGCCATATGCATGCTTCATTCAAATGAGTTATTTTTACGTTACCTAATAGAAGGAATTGATGGACCAACATCAAATGGTACTGGATTTGTAGGTCCTCCGGGAAAATTTCTTTCTGGTGTTAATAAAATAGAGTATAATCCTAAATTCAAGGCTCTTCCAGTCAGAGAGAGCTTTGTTAACATTCCAGAAACATTACTAAAAAATATATCAACAGATCAAAAACAATCCTACAAGCTATGTAAAGCAGTTAGGATTGGTGTGCTGCCACCTAATCTAAGAAAAATTTAATGTGATCCCATAAGTCATGCCAGATGACTCACTAATAGTATGAAAATAGTTTTAATGCAGACAAAGAAACATGGCTTAACTGAGCAAAATTTGAAGAATCTAGAGTTACTTGTCTTATTCTATTAACAATTTTACTTTAAACTTTTTTTTGACATAAAAGTAAATGACAAACTTGAAGATGCTCCCTATAACATTCTTTCTCAATTGAGAATTCTTAGAAATCAACCTGATAGGGTAAAAAAAGTTGTGATTCCGTACATCCAGTTAGGATCTTGGTATGCAAACGATGAAAGTATTTTAATCTTTTTGTAATCCAGTAATAATGCAGAAGACCGCAACTTTGCAGTTGACCATATTTTGAAACAAAGGGGTAATGATATCCTTGCAGGTATGCAAATTTGACCAAGAAAAACACCTAAACTGAACTTTGCAGCAAATGCTCTTCAAGGGCTAGGTAAATGGAAAAACAGAAGAAGTACGAGAACCTATTTTTACTTGTTTGCTTATTATAGATAAGTTGTTATTGCTAAAATTGACACCTTTAATAACTTCTTCTTTTAAAATTCATACCCAAAGTATCGAGTGCGCTGTAAAACAAGTGACAGTGGCATCTTTGTCGGTAGTTGGACCAGATGCAAGAGATGGGTATATTAGAGCTAGAGCTCAACATTTAGAGTTGTTACCTGTGTTTAAAACAAAGAAAGAAATTTTATTTAGCTTTTAATATCAAAACACACATTATTTTTTTTAATAGTGTTATTTAAATATGATTTCGGTAAGTTAGGGGATAAACCACCTGCTTTTTGTTAAAACCGCATCACTAACACCACCTCTTTTTAATTTCTAAAATAAAATAAGCTTTAGATCATCTAGCGTTGAATGATTTTATTGGCCAATCAGATCTGTGATAATCTGTTAGAAAACCTGGCACAATCTAAAAAGGCGTGATTAATAAATACAATCTTTTAACTTATCCAAGTAGAATAGGTAAGCGCTGCCAATGTTGTATTGTTTTTGCTTATTTCTTTACAATTTTTTAATAAACCTTTTAGATTTTTTTTTTAAACACTTTAAAGTAGCCCCAGACATTCTAACATCTTCTATTTCTCGAACAACGCAATTCATTATAAACCAAACTTTTTATCAAAAAGAGTCATCACGGAAATCGAAAAAAATCAAACATTTTGTAAAATTGAAGAAAAGTAATTAGAGGGTGGAATGTTCGTTTACTTTTAATTTTAATTACTTAATCATTTATTATATCATATCCAATGATATTTTGTAATATTATATGTCAAAAATTGACATTAAATAACTTTGTAGTTTTATATAAAATAGCTCATCTTTTGATTAAGTTTAATAAGTCAACAAAAGATATTTAACAGAAAACCTTAATGAGACATTCATAACAATAGTTATTTAAAAAAAAAAAAAGTAAAAAAAAAAATAGTATAAAAGTTTCTGGCGTGCAGCGTTTACAATTACTAAAGATATTAAGTTTTTGTCTACAATGCACCCTAAACTTGCGTATTAGGGTGCATTGAAAAACAGAAATTTTTCAAAATTATCTTGTAATAGCTCTAAATATACGCGATATTATAAATTATCACTGGATTTAAAAAAATTTCGGAATAAAAAATATTTTAAGAGATGCCCTAAGTCAATTGAACATTTACGCAGTCCCAAATATTACAAAAAAAAAATTCCGCAAAAGTAGGTAAACCTGGCACTCAAAAGAAATTTTATAAAAAGTTCAAAAGTAATATTTATTTTATATAAAAATTATTCTTTTGAATTTTATTACATATTAACTATGGTTTTTTATCTAAAAATAAAAAAAATGCATTTTTTCAAGTTTTTTGATAATATATGTTTTTTTATAAAACGATTATTATTTTCGAACATTTTTTAAAATTTCACTTCTTTTGAGTACCAGGTTGATCTACTATATAAGAATTTTTTTTCAGAGTTCTAGGGACCCTATAAATGTTCAAGGGACTTGGGGCACCTCTAAAATTTTTTTTTTCGAAACCTTTTGTTAATCCAGTAATATTTTATCATATCGCATATATTTAGAGCTATTAGAAAGAAGTCTGTTTTTCAATTCACCTTATTGTGTGTGCTTAGAAGAATTTTTAGCACTTAAGCAAATTTTAAACTAAACCTGTTTGGTTTCTAGATGCTACAGACTGTCTGGAATTGAAATAAAAAATAAGTTTTTAGTTTAAGAAATGGGTTTTTTATGCCCCGGAGCAGTTCCAGTTACTTAAGTGCTTTTTTAGTTTAAGGCTACAAGATGTAACGTAAGATGTAAATATGCATTAACTTTAAAACCATTAAAGAATGGAGTTAGTTTATTAGAAAATTTAAAAAAAATATTTAGTATTAAAATCTAAAATTTTTTATATCTAAAAAGTTTCAATTTTTGTAATTTTTTTGAGCATAGGAAACTTGAAACTATAGAAGTTATTAAATTTTATGATTTTTAAATTAACTTTTTATAATTAAGAAGTGGTAAATTTAGTGCTTTTTTTGTTTTGAAATTTTATTGATATTGATTCAAAAATAAATGATATAGTTTAAGATAGTAAAAAAGCATTTTTATAAGACATTTAAGGATAAATTTTGTTTGGAGAAAAAGTGTTTCAATGTTTTTTAAATATTTTTTCTTTAACCTTTTCGTTATAGGTTTTCTTTTACATTATTTTATTTACTGCAATACTACGGCAGGGTTTATTTTAAAGGCAAGTAAAAACAAATAAAATTGTCAATAAAATTGAAATTTTATTGACAAGTAAAGTATTTATAAAAATATATATATAATATATGGAAATATAGTATATATAAAAATAAAAATATAGTATATATAAAATATAGTAATTTATAAAAAAAATTACTACATAATCCAAAAGAAAATATTTTAAAGCTAATGTGATAGCTTCTCTTAATAGTAGTATTTTATATTTATATACCAATACATTGCATTTTATATATTACTACAATGAGAATTTTGTTATCATAAAAATTGACAATTATCGGAGAAAAGTATTCAATGTCAATAATATTATGTGTTTATTTTTATTTATTTAAGAATTATCGATTAAGAAATAAAGTAAAAAGCGCCGATGTCTTTTTTATACCTTTAAAATCAGTTTAGAGTAATCTGTAAACTTGGCAAATCACTCATTGTTTACGGTTAAGTTATTTGGTTAGATTTTATCGTATTACAGCACACGTATTACAAGTTTTATCGTATTACAGCACACGTGCAGTAATACTCATAAATGTAATACGCATATCTTCATCTTCTATGCATACCAGTTAAAGAGTTGGGACGCTTTTCCACACTGCATTTATTTCTGCGTATCTTGTTTTACGATATTATATAGTTCATGGAATAAACAAAACTATGTTAAACTGTCTCAAAATCAAAAGACAGAGAACATGTCACGTTTTTTTACATCCGTGATTTCTTTATTCATGGAAAAAACTGCTTGAGTTTTTTCTATGATTTTCTAAATAACTTACTTTTTTCACTTCGTCAAAAAATAAGTTATCGAGGCGTAACTTATAAAAAAAAAAGGTTTTCCAATTTAATTTAAAATATCAAGGAAATGATTTTTTTCTTTTAATATTAAAAAAGTTAAATGGAAAAAGACACCCAATTAATTTTTCCAATTTTGTTGAATTTAATGAGAAAATATAACTTTTCATCAATTTCATTACTTACTTTTTTTGTGCCATTACTTCGTAAAGAGAAATAAAAAACTTTTGAGATATAAATAGCGTATAAATATACTTTATAGATAAAATATGACGCAATAAAATAACCATCAATAAATATTTAAAATAAATAAAAATAGGTCAGAAAATTTCATACAGTAAAAAACAGCAGAAAATCGTTTCATAACAAAACAAACATAACTTGTTATCTCTAGTTTTACGTTTACAATGAAATTTTTTTGTTTCAATAAAGTTTCATTAAACTGATGTTTAATCAACTGAGCAAACTTTAAAACCTAATGTTTTCTTATTAATTTAAATTTGCTTTAAGAAAAATTTTTTACTTTTAAAGTGCACTTTTTTTATTTATAGGACAATTGTTATTTTATTAATAATTTTTTTTTTTAACGCAATTTGCTACATTTAAAAAAGTATATTGAAATAAATGTTTACTGTAAAAAAGAAAAAAAAATTAATGAGTAACAGTGAGTATCTATATTGAGTATGGTTTGTTATTGGAGAATGAAGAGATGAACAGGTAAATAGATGACTGATTAAAAATTAAAAGTACAAATATATGAAGACTGCACGGGAAGAAATGGCAGTCACATTTTATCATTTTGAGAAAACTCAATATTAAACTTTAAATTCTATGTAACCTTTTAATTTTTAGAAAAAAAGTGTAAACTTGTTAGGTATTTTGCAAAAGTAACCTCATTTTTTTGCAGCTAAAGTTATATTTTCAGGTAAAGTGCAATCTTTTTCAAATGAAGCTTATTTTGGACTGCTGTTTTTTCCCCGGTATAACGACTGTATTCGTTTTTTAATTAATTCATAAACTAAATCATTAATTTTTTAGTTAAAGTAACTTAATAAAACAGTTCTATCTTCTCTTTTGACAATTTCTAAGCATTTCAATCTTTTACAGTTACATTCAAGCTCTATTTTATGAGATGCTAACCTTTGTTTTTTTATACTTTCGCGCAATCTTTTTTTTTTTTCTTTTCTTGGATTTTTTTTGTTACTTGTTCTAATTGTTCAAATGTAGCCATTTTTATTAATAAACATTAACCGAATTTTCTGCGAGTATTATAAAAAAAACAGGACTTGGAGCTTTCAATCTAAGTCTTGATAATACAGAGTAGTGTTTAGTTGATGTCTTTTAGTAAGTTTCGTTTGTTTAAAAACTTGTTTTTTCGGGGAGGTAATTATTTGTATATTAAAGAAGAGAGGCATAATTCCATCAAACTTTGAATATACATAAAATCAATTATTTGATTCAAAATCAAATACAAAAGATGATTCTGTAGTTTATAAAGCTAGAAAATCAAAAAAGTCAAAATTTGACCCTGCCGTTTCTTCCCGTGGAGTCTTCATATGTAAACCTAAAACAAAAAAGTTATCAAAATAAATATAAGTGAACTATAAGAAGGTTTTTGTCTGAACTGATTTAATATACCTGAAATGTAAAAAAACATTTTAACTGTCTTCAAGTAAGCTTTTCCTCTTTAAATTCCAAGTTTTATTTTTTTCCGTTTTTAATCTCAATGAGCAATTTTTCAAATTCATTAGATTTCTCTTTAATATTAAATCTCTTTTTTTAACTAAAAGTCCAAGTAGTAAACGTACTTATATTTATTTTGATAACTTAGTCCACGTTAACAAATTATCAAGTGCACGGTTAACAAGTAAAACAGCATTTTTTAGATTTGATTCTATGCAAGACTTTGAATTAAACAAAAAAGAGAAACTGAAACTATATATGATTGTATTTAAATCATTGGATATATCTGAGTTCTTTAAATAGCTGTATTTGTTTATTTTTGTTCAATGTTTAAATCTTTATCCTATCAACAAATCGATCTGATCACATTTTTCTAAGTTTATATTATTACCTAGGCTATTACTTTTAATAGTTTAATTAGCTTGATGTTTTTCTACGTGTATTTACTGCTCAAAATTTATTGTCATTTTTTTTTTTGTACTTTTATGCACCAATTTCCTCGCTATTTTTCTTGCGTTCTTCATAAACTTGATCACCATTTTTTTGTTGAGGGGAGGTTAGGTTTAAACTATCATTACTAAAATAAGGAGGGTAGATAACTTGATTGTATGGTAGACGATATCTAAATGGCAAATTATTACCGTATCTTATGGATCGATTAGCAAGACTTCCTAACAAAGAGTCGTCTTCAACTCTGGATCTGTTACTGTAGTATGCTGCAAGAGCCGGATTATATATTATATGATATGGTTGAAAATTATAATTATAAAATACATTTATACACAGATTTCATACTAAATTGCAAAAAGATCATTAAAAACTAAAAATCATTAAGAAACAGAAAAATTAAGAACTTAAAAATATAGCTTATACTGCAGTTTACTAATGTTACAATCCAATACTAAAGTTTTTTACTTGATTTTTCAATAGCATGGTACATGAAACATATGCATCTAGTATTTAGCATACAAGCACACAAACGTCTATAAAACGTCAAATTTTTGTCAAAACGCCTTGTACATTTGATAAAAGTACAAGGTCATATCATATGATACTATCCCAGTAAACACACAAACGTCTATAAAACGTCAAAACAACGTTTTGACAAAACGTTCAAATTTGGTCGATCCAAATCCAGATTAACGTTTAGAACAAACGTCCATAAAACGTCTATATTCAAACTATTATTTTAGACGTCTATTATAGGATTATTATACGTTTATATGGACGTAAACATAAAACGTATATAAAGCGTTTAGATTTTGTCTAATTTTCGTTTAAATCTAGTTCAATTAACGTATATAAAGCGTTTAGACTTAGAAAAAGAGACTTTAGACTTAGTCTAAGACCTTTAGACTTAGTCTAAGTAAACGTATAAACTTTTAGATCTTGTCTAATAGTTTCTTTGATTTAGTTAACGTAATTTCAATTTATATAAATTTAAAAACTTATATAAACTAAAAATTACGTTATAACTTTTTAACTTTATATAAGAGCTATATATGTCTTGAAATTTATATTTAAGATATAGATGTAAGAGTAATGAAATTTATAAATAAGATATAGTTGTAAAAGACCTGGTCTTATTTTTTACATTTTTATAACTATTATAATATGTTTATAAACTTTATACTATATTCCCAGCCAACATTGGCAGACGGGTACCGTATGGTTTTTGTCTGGGCTAACGGGAACGGGATTTTAACGGGTAAGTGTTTTGTTTTCCGGACGGGTCCCATATGGTAAAAAAGTCACGCATATTTGCTTGATTGGGTTTTATCTGGTTTTTATCAGGGTTAAAGAATCTGGGGATTTGACGGGTTTCCCATAAGGTTTCGAAAAGGTTTAAACTGATAGTTAAAAAAATCATAACAAAACTTACTCGATGGCTGCCATTTACAATTCGAATTGTGCGTGAAATAAATTTAAAAATGTAACTTTTATGCATTATAGTTTTTGTTTGTGGAGATGCTTTTTATAGGAAATTAAATTTTTTTCATTTTTGAGTTCCAAAAAAACAATAAGTTGGAAGAAAGGTTCTATAATTGTATTATGTGCACGTTGGCAATTATAAACATTATTATCAAATCTATATGTTGATTGTCCGGTTCTACAACTAGTAATATGTCGATTTGTACGAAGTTATAAATTATCATGGTTTCCCATGAAAACGCGTTCCAAATAACCATGGTTTTTCCATGGTTTTTTTTCATAGAAATTTTCCGTAAGGGTTCTGACGATAAAGAAGAATGAGATAAAAGTTTTCCATTGATCAAACTGTGATCAGTTACACCAAAAGGTGAATGTGGAGAAACTCAGCATCAGAAATAAGACATAACTTGAGTAAAGAAGGTAAGTGATTCGGATTGTATGGAGAGTTGGAAAGTTAACTATTTGTGTTAGAGGTTAAAAAAAGCAAAAGTTGTGGGCCTTAATGGCTTGGTCATTTTGATCAGAAAAAACATCAAAAAGTCTTGTAATGAAGGAGATATAGAACAAAGAGAAAGATGATAAAATGAAATGGTGCTAAAATAAAAGCACATAATGGAACAGTCTGTGGATTCAAACCTAGTTTTCTGAAAAATAGGTGAGTTTTTACAAATGTAAATGCCCAGGCCAAGCATATGACTGTTGGAGACTTACGAAATAAATAAAGATACTAAGATCACAAGATGAGACAGCTGAACTCATATTAGTCTCACAAAGAGCAAGTAAGTCGGTTGAACTTTGCAAAAGATAAGACTCAACAGAAGAAACGTCACTTCGAAAGCTACGAACATTAGTGAATAATAGATTTAGAGAACTTGGTGATAACGACGGTTTTTTGTGTTTTATAGTTTTTGATACTTTAGAATTTTTACAATTTAGTCTTAAGAGTTTGACTTGAACCACAGGTAGAATCCACTATCTGTCCTAATCCACTATCTAATAGTCAAATCAATTAACAAACCCTAATCCGTAAAAAAGGGCTCCAGATGTGGCAATTGCAATACAGCACTATTAGTACACTGATATTTTACAGCTGTTGATGTAATCAGAGCTCCAAGACAGGAGATTTTTATGTTTGAGTTTGTTTCTCTCAGCCTTTGCCCTAAAAAAGAAGCCAAAAGGCAGTGGGGTATGGGACAGATAGTACTGAGTTACGTGATATCAGTAGCATGGTGATTTTTAAAATTACTATTATTATTGTGTAATTATTGTTATTATTACTATCTATATTACTGTTATTAATAATATTTGTAATAATACTATTATGTAAGTATTTTAATTATTGTTAGTATCTAAAAATTAGAACACGATATTGTAGCATATATAAAAATAATAAAATACGACAGTTTGTTATGTCAATACCCACTTTTTCTAAAAATGTTAAATTGCATCTACTAAAATCTAAAAATCTAAAAATGTTTAAATACATACGCAAATGTTAAAATACATCTACGCACTGGCCTCAGAAACGTAAGACCCGTGGTTTAAACATCGCCTCTGGGCAAGTTTTGCGACATCGGTTGGGAAGGAGGCGTGAACTTCCTATTAAATGCTCTTCCGCGGTGCTCTGTGATAAGACCGTAATGACTTCTTGGGGCACCTTAATCAACTTTTTTTTTTTAAAGAAAAAAAAAAGTGTTTTGCTTTAAATACTTTTTACTATATATAATAGAACATTCCAAAAATAACCAATAGTAACAGGTTCATTGAGTGGTTTAAAGAAAGAAATGTTAGAGTAGATTTATTGGAAGCTTTAACAAATTCTTCTCAAAACCAAGTTGCAATCACAAATAAAGAAATAGTTAATGAAATAGACGAAAATGAAGAGAATGAAAACGATAATTTTATTCATGCTGAATTCGATATAGATTATTTTATAGAAGCTGTTTGTGAGCTTCCAAGCTTGTGGGATGTGAATCATCCCACATACAAAGACAGATTAGTTAAAGTAAACGCTTAAAAAAAACTTGCATTGAAACTTTATAAAGAAGAGGACTTCCTTCAGAAAAAGTTAAAAAATCTGAAAGATACACTAAAAAAATGTTTAGATAAACGTAACCGTATTACCAGATCAGGAGCAACAGCCTCAAACTTACCAAAATGTAAGTTTTTTCAATCAAGTCCAAGTGCCAGTAGTTTTAGCAGTGAATTAATTCTAACTGAAAATTGAAAAAGGTTATACCATTCAGGACCACCCATTCAAAAGAAGCCACGAATCAAAAATCAAAATGATAAGTCATTGTCACTATTGTCACAATCATTAGTAGAGTGTGACAAGATATTAAAAAAGTCAGTGGAAGATGTTGAGAAAGATGAAACTACCCTATTTTGTAGAAGCCTTATTCCTATTATGAAAGAATTTCCAGGCAATATGAAGAAAGTAATAATGGAAAGATGCAGGCTTTTGCTGAAACGTTTTTTTTCGGCGCGCTACTTAGGAATTGTTTTCACTGATAAATGTTTATTCAATGCTGAAGCCTTCTTAAACCATCAAAATGATCAAATATTGCCCAGAAGTATCAGTGATGCAAACATGAAGGGTAGAATCTCTTCTTGTACAGGACATCCGCAATCCGTTATGGTTTTTGGAGGGATAACTTTGGATGGCAAAACTCCGTTAGTTTTTGTGGATTCTGGAGTTAAATTTAACAGTCAAAACTATTTAAATGATGTCCTTATAAAATAAGCAATTCCATGGTCGCAATCACACTTTGGTACAAAGCCCTGGACATTTCAACAGGATTCAGCTCCTACCCACAAGGCAAAAATTGTTCAAAGGTGGTGCAAAAAAATTTTTCCAGATTTTATCAGCGCCCAAGAATGGCCTCCCTACTTGCCAGATCTCAACCTGATTGTTAGTTGTTAGAATAAAATTTGTTTTTAATCTTCATTGCCTTTTTTAAATTTAGTCGTTTTTATGGTAATTTTGTGTGCCACAACTTTCTGGTCACCCTGTATATATATATATATATATATATATATATATATATATATATATATATATATATATATATATATATATATATATATATATATATATATATATATATATATATATATATATATATATATATATATATATATATATATATATATATATATATATATATATATATAATATATATATATATATATATATATATGTGTGTGTATATATATATATATATATATATATATATATATATATATATATATATATATATATATATATATGTATTTATTTATTTATATATATATTTATATATATATATATACGTTTTGGACGTCTTTCGAACGTTCAAAAGACGTATTTTTTTGGTCCGGTGCCCCCTGGGATGCAAACAACTATTACTCAAAACATTTTGACACTTTTTAATCTTGAATTTCTTTAAAGATAAAGTAAATTATGTTAACAATTGATATGGTAAAATTGTAAGACTTTTACCAGGTAGCAAATATACTTTTAATAATATAATAATAATTTTATTACAACATTAACTTAAAATCTTGAACTTCAAAATAATAAA